CATCGTCTTGGCCGTTCCTGGGTCATTCTCCATCTCAAGCTTGACTATCTATTCCGGGGTTCCGAATGCTTGCTCGAAGAGCCAGGTTTTTACTCTCTTCCGAAAAGTCAGGAGGGAGGGGGCTGATCTAATATCCCTAGGCAGGGAGTTCCACAGCCGAGGGGCCACCACAGAGAAGGCCCTGTCCCTCGTCCCCGCCAATCGTGCTTGCAAAGCAGACGGGATCGAGAGCAGGGCCTCCTCAGATGCTCTTAACTTCCTGGAGGGTTCGTAGGAAGAGATGCATTCGGATAGGTAGACTGGGCCGGAACCGTTTACGGCTTTATAGGCTAAAGCCAGCACTTTGAATTGAGCCCGGTAGCAAACTGGCAGCCAGTGGAGCTGATGCAACAGAGGAGTTGTGTGCTCCCTGAGCCCCACTCCTGTTAGCAACCTGGCTGCCGCACACTGGACCATTTGAAGCTTCCGGGCCGTCTTCAAAGGCAACTCCACGTAGAGCGCGTTGCAGTAATCTATGCGGGATGTAACCAGAGCGTGTAGTAGTAGTAGTATTATATTGTATTACATTATATTATCAATAATATATGTATATACAATGTATTCTATTATACTATATTATTAGCACAGTGCAGGAGACAAGGTGGAACTGTGATCCTGGCCCCTCTTTTCACTCTGGTCCAAGAGCAGAAGTTGGTGCTGGCGGGGGGGGGGGGGGCTCTATGAACCAGCCCTGACGTTAAGATCATCTGCGGAGGCCCTGCTCTTGGTCCCACCTCCTTTGCAGATGCAATTGGTGGGGACAAGAGACAGGACCTTCTCAATGGTGGCCCCTCGGCTATGTAACTCCCTCCCCTGTGAAAATAGATCAGCTCCCTCCCTCCTGTCCTTCATGCTTTTTAGGGGATTCTGGGCACTGAAGTACCAAAAAAAAAAAACCCTAGATCTTCCAAACTTTGGAATAAATGCATGCAATTTAAATCCTATGACTTAAAATACAATGCACCAATCCCTGTCTGATCCAAATGAGCTGTCGGAATTTACCCGCAAAGCTGTTTGATTCATATTGCTGTGACACCACGCTAAGCAGGGCCAGCCCTGGCTGATACTTGGATTGGAGACCAACAACGAATATGGGATTTAAAGGCGCAAACACAAACTTACCTGGGGCTAAAATAAAGACTGCCTTTGCTTGTGAGTGGACGCACAGTTAATTGCAATTAGGCGGGATCTGTATGTGACTGCAACCATGCCCGCCCCCAAGTCACCCTACACACCGCACCGCTTGGACCTTCATTTCTCTTCTGCCTCCCGAAGCCTACTGAGCATGCGCGACCCATTTCTGGGCGGAGCATAACAACCAAACACCGGTACGTCTGCCTACAGTGGTTGAAATAGGCTTCCGCGTCTCTTGGACTTCAACTCCCAGAAGCCTCCGCTTTTAGCATATGATGAGGCATTCTGGGAGTTGAAGTCCCAAAAACCCAAAGCTTGGGAAACACTGGTTTAGACTAAAGGAGTCCTGTGTTTTTGAGAACATAAAGGTAATGCAGCTTGACACCACTCCAAGAGCCATGTCACAATGCTACAGAACCCTGGGATTTGTAGTTTTAGAATATCTCCAGCCTTTTCTACCAAAGGGTGCACCTACACTGTGGAATTAATGCAGCTTGACACCACTTGAACTGCCAGGGCTCAATGCTATGGATTTTTGAGATTTGCAGTTCACCAAACTGCAGCTCCCCAGGATCCCATAACTTTAAGCCATAGTGTGAAAATGCATTCATTCTACAGTATAGTACAGGCATGGGCAAACTTCAGCCCTCCATTTGTTTTTGACTTCAACTCCCACAATTCCTAACAGCCTACAACTTAAAATATACAAATATACAATAATAAAACGGTATATCATTATATATTACTAGATATTATCTGTAGTAATTATATATTAGTATTACTTTACTACAATATTATTATTATTATTCTTAGTAGTAGTATATTGTATTATTATTAGTATTATATTGTATTACATTATATTATCAGTATTATATGTATATACAATATATTATTAGCATAGCACAATATTAGTACTATACCACTACACTGCAATATTTTTAATATTACACGTAATATACAATTAAAATATTATTATATATGATTATATTGTTCTGTATTAAAAGGTAAAGGATTCCCTTGACATTAAGTCTAGTTGTGTCCAACTCTGGAGGATGGTGCCCATCTCCATTTCTAAGCCGAAGAGCCGGCGTTGTCCGTAGACATCTCCAAGGTCATGTGGCCGGCATGACTACATGGAGTGATGTTACCTTCCCGCAGAAGCGGTACCTATTGATCTATCACATTTCGAGCCGTGGGTCAAACCCTTGTGCTGGCAGGACTGATGAACAACTGTCAGAAATTCAAATCCGGGGAGAGTGCGGATAAGCTCCTGCTGTCAGCTCCAGCTCCCCATGCGGGGACATGAGAGAAGCCTCCCACAAGGATGGTAAAACATCAAAACATCCAGGCATCCCCTGGACAACATCCTTGCAGACAGTCAATTCTCTCACATCAGAAGCGACTTGCAATTTCTCAAGTCGCTCCTGACACGAAAAAAAAATTGCATGTTTTTTAACTGCTAGGTTGGTAGAAGCTGGGCCAAACAGCGAGAGCTCACCCTGCTCCCCGGATTGGAACTGCCAACCTTGAAGTCAGCAAATTTAGCAGCTCAGCAGTTTAACTCGCTGCGCCACCAGGGGGCCCATTGTACTATATTATTATACCACAATATATATAATACGCTATCAGTAGATTATACTATACGTATTATTTATATAAATAAAAATGTAATGTTCGTTTGTGGGATTAACATAACTCAAAAACCACTGGACGAATTGACACCAAATTTGGACGCAATACACCAATCAGGCCATCGTGTGATCATCACTCATAAAAACACCGAAAAACACAATTATTATTATTATTATTATTATTATTATTATTATTATTAAACTTTATTTGTACCCCGCTAGCATCTCCCGAAGGATTCGATGCGGCTTACAATGGAAGAGACTTAAAAAGCCAATAAATAAAAAATACATTACAACGCATGCACAAAACCACACACACATACATATATATGCAAACACACATGTATACACAAATATACAAATATATACATACACATATACACAAATATACACACAAAATGTATTTATTTATTTACTTCATTTGTATACCGCTCTTCTCAGCCCTTAGGCGACTCAGAGCGGTTAACAGCAACAGTTTCAGTATACACAGTACAAAATCATTGGGCATTTAAAAGCAATAACCTAACAAATTAATTAAACAGTAAACATCAATACAACAATACATCAATATAACAAATCAGTCAGATCTCATCAATAGAATCAGAATCCAGTCTCGTTGTCCATTATTCCATGTTCCGCTAATCAATCAATTACACTGCTTAGTCAAATGCCTGTTCAAACGGCCAGGTCTTCACTTTTCTCCGGAATGCCAGTAAGGAGGGGGCCGATCTGATATCTGCAGGAAGGGCGTTCCACAGCCGAGGGGCCACCACTGAGAAGGCCGTGTCTCTCGTCCCCGCCAGACGTGCTTGTGAAGCCGGCGGGACCGAGAGCAGGGCCTCCCCAGACGATCTTAATGTTCTAACTGGTTCATAGGAGGAGATGCATTCGGACAGGTGGACAGTTTTATTGTGTTTTAGTGGATTGTTCATTGTTTGTTGTTTTAGATTGCTTTAATTGTTTTAATTTGCCTAGGTTTTGTATTGTTGTATTGTTTGTCGAGGCCTTGTCCTTTGTAAGCCGCATCGAGTCCTGCGGGAGATGCTAGCGGGGTACAAATAAAGTTTAATAATAATAATAATAATAATAATAATAATAATAATAATAAGAGTTACATTGAAAGTGGTGCAGCTGGCATTTCTTCAACTTCCAGACTCACCTAGATATTGATTTTTTGTTGTTCATTTGTTCAGTTGCTTCCGACTCTTTGTGACCTCATGGACCAGCCCACGCCAGAGCTCCCTGTCGGCCATCACCACCCCCAGCTCCTTCAAGGTCAATCCAGTCACTTGAAGGATGCCATCCATCCATCTTGCCCTTGGCCGGCCCCTCTTCCTTTTTCCACTTTCCCCAGCATAATTGTCTTCTCTAGGCTTTCTGTCTCCTCATGATGTGGCCAAAGTACTTCAACTTTGTCTCTAGTATCCTTCCCTCCAATGAGCAGTCGGGCTTTATTTCCTGGAGGATGGACTGGTTGGATCTTCTCGCAGTCCAAGGCACTCTCAGCACTTTCCTCCAACATCACAGCTCAAAAGCATCTATCTTCCTTCGCTCAGCCTTCCCTAAGGTCCAGCTCTCACATCCGTAGGTGTCTACTGGGAATACCATTGCTTTAACTAGGCGGATCTTTGTTGCCAGTGTGATGTCTCTACTCTACTATTTTATCGAGACTGGACATTGCTCTCCTCCCAAGAAGTAAGCGTCTTCTGATTTCCTGGCCACAGTCTGCATCTGCAGTAATCTTTGCACCTAGAAATACAAAGTCTGTCACGGCCTCCACGTTTTCTCCCTCTATTTCCCAGTTGTCAATCATTCTTGTTGCCATAATCTTGGTTTTTTTGATGTTTAGGGGACGGCTAGTATAATATATTATGCTATGTCATAAGTTGTATTATATATGATATATATTACATTATTAATATTATATATATTAGCATTATTACATTACAATCTAATTATTTCTATATATTATAATATATATATATAGAGAGAGAGAGAGAGAGAGAGAGAGAGTAGATGCATCCTTAGCGTCCTTAAGGGAACTTGACACCTCATCAAAGCGCCCCGCCCCCTTTTGGCCAGGCTGACCTAGATGCATTCTGGGATTCGTCCAATCAGGGCGCGGCCGCCATGTTGGATTTAAAGCGGCTGCGACGCGATGTGGGCGGGGCTTCGATGACGTTTGTTTTTCTCTTCGCCGGGGAAGGGCCGGGAGGAGAGAATGGGTGCTGAGGGCGCATGCGCAGTCGCTCATCCATTCCCGCGAGCTGGTTCTTCCTGAAGGAATCAAGGCGAAGCGGCGGGTACGTGTTTGCTCTCCTTTTCTCCCCTCAGAGGCACGGCGGCCGGCCTCCGTCTCCTTCTCTCAGGCCAGGAAGGGCCTGGTTGCCTTGACAACGGGGCCTAGCTACTCTCAGGGTGGTCCTGGCAAGTAGGTAGGCCTCTTCACAGGTAGAGGGATGGGGGGACCGTTATTAAAGGGAGGCAGGCTGAGGGGAAAGCAGGGACGCTTCTGGATAGCCCATTCCCAGGCCCTGCTTTCTCAGTGGCACTCTTCGTATGCTCAGGGGTAGTGTTGCCATTCTGCTGTGTGAAGGCTGAGAATCAGTGCTGCTGTGTGTGATATTTGACGCTATCCTCAATGCTCTTATGGGAGGCCTTTTAAATATTGCATCATTTTCATCTGGGGTCAGCCATCCCTTGGTAATGACATGAATTTTAACATTGTTGTGCTTGTTTTAACGGTTGTAACATTTAATTCTATTTTAATATTGATATTTTGTAGGGGTTTTAAAAATTGTGTATGTATTTAAGGTTATGAGCCACTTTGGGGCTCCATCTACGTCCCACCCCGGAATTTGAGATCATCTGGGGAGGCCCTGCTCTCGACCCCACCACTATCACAAGTGAGGCTGGTGGGGACGAGGAGCAGGGCCTTCTCAGTGGTGGCCCCCCACCTGTGGAACTCACTCCTGGGGGAAATCAGGACATCAACATCCCTCCTTGCCTTCAGGAGAAAGGTAAAGACGTGGCTATGGGACCAGGCCTTTGGGCATCCTGACAATTAGATAGGGAATCCAGATGGATAGGACTGACAATGTGCGGAAAGTAGAATCTAAACTATGAGTCTGTTAAACGCTGACCAGCAATGAGGTTTGTATTGTTTTAATTGTTTTAATTGCTTTTACGGGTTTTTTGGATGTTTTGCCGATAATAATGATTGCTTATGTTAATTGTTATCATTGCTATAATTGCTATTGTTACTGATGTTATATTTTTGTTGTCATGTAACGCAGGCATCGAATTGTGCCTTGTTTGTGTAAGCCGCCCTGAGTCCCCCTCGGGGTGAGAAGGGCGGGGATAAGCGACCGTAATAAATAAATAAAATAAAATCTGCACTGCCATGTAATGCAGTTTCGAAGTGGGAATATAGCATGATACAAATGAAAACAATAATAATAATAATAATAATGGTGATGATGTTCTATTTAATGCTCTTATAGAAAGTTTTTTTAATGCCGTGTTTTAATGCCATGTTATTTCCATTCGGGATGAGTCATGCGCACATACAACATTGAAACAATAAAGTTAAAGTCCAAAGTTAAAAGCCACATTAAAAAAAAAAGCCATATCCGGTAAAGCAATCCTTATTTAACATGCTAGACATTAGGCTCTTCATATGCTTGAGAGCATTTGTGAGTTTTTAATAGCTTTCTGAAAGAGGACAATGAAGGGGCCATTCTAATTTCCTTTGGGAGAGATCCAGAGGTGAGGTGGGGGTGGGGGGCAACTGCAGAGATGATGATGTTGATGTTGTATTTAATGCTCTTATCGGAAGTCCTTTGATGCCATGTTATTTCCATATGGGATGAGCCATGTGTTGTGCTGAGTGTGCTGACAGGAATTGTTTTTAAATATTGTTTTTTTATTTGTACCCCGCTTTATCTTCCAAAAGAGGACTCAAAGCAGCTTGACATAAAAGCATTAGTATACTATTTAAGGAGCCTCGGGTGGTACAGCAGGTTAAACCACTGAGCTACAGAACTTGCTGACCGAAAGCTGAGCTCCCGCTGTTAGTCCTAGCTTCTGTCAACCTTGCAAGTCTTAAACATGCAAATGTGAGTAAACTAATAGGTATCACTCCAACAAGAAGGTAACGGCGCTCCATGCCGTCCTGCTGGCCATATGACATTGGAGGTGTCTACGGACAACACCAGCTCATTGGCTTAGAAATGGAGATGAGCACCACCCCCCAGAGTCGGACACCACTAGACTTAATGTCAAGGAGAAATCTTTGCTTTTACTATACTATTTAAAATATGCAAACACTAAAACACAAGCAGCACTAAAAAAATTAGTTAAAATCCATCAAAATATATTCACAGCTAAAAACCACAGCACATTTAACATTTTGCCTTGTTTTAATGGTTATAAAATTTATTTTTATTTTTAAGTGTATATATATTGGGGATGCATTTAAATTGTACAGGCTTTTTAAGGCTGTGAGCTGGTTTGGGTTCCACAACTGGGAGAAAAAAATGAGGTACAAATCAACATAATAAAGAAGAAGATGTTGCTGAAGATAAGTGCCAGGGCCAAGAAGACCGAGGTCCCTTCCACACAGCTTAATAAAATCCCACATTTTCAGCTTTGAACTGGAATATATGGCAGTGTCAGATAACCCAGTTCAAAGCAGATATTGTGGGATTTTCTGCCTTGCTATTCTGGGCTATATAGCTGTGTGGAAGGGCCCTGGGTTCAAATTAGCTCTGAAGGCACATCTTGTGTCAGGTTTTTTTCCTCACCACAAATTGCTGTGGTCAGCTGCTCATCCATGACTCAGTGGCTTAGGAAGGGCTTTGGAGAAAGAATAGTCAACCTATATTGGCCTATGGCTTTAACTTTGCTCTGCAGGCACAGTGAAAGTTAATTCTCCAGGCTAATATAGGTTGACTAGTCCCTTCTCCAAAATGCTTGGAACCAGAAATGTTTGGGATTTGGGGTTTTTGTGGTGGTCCCTCGGCTGTGGAACACCCTTCCCGTGGACATCAGACAGGCTCCTTCCCTGTTGATATTCCGCAGAAAATTAAAAACCTGGTTGTTCAAGAAGGCGTTCAAACAAGAAGTGCAATGATTGGTAATGACTATAGGAATGGAATAACGGAAATGATATTGGATTGTGGTTTGGACGATGAGACGACGCTGAATGGTTTCGTAGTAATGACAATGTTTTGTATAATGCTTTTTGTATAATGTTTTTTGCATAATGGTTCGAGAATTGTTTTTATACTGTGTTTTGTATTTTGTTCTTCCCATGTTGTACACCGCTGTGAGTCACCCTTGGGTTGAGAACAGCGGTATAGAAGCAAAGTAAATAAATAAATAAATAAATAAATTTGTCAGATTCTGGAGGGCCTGTATTTGCGTATATAAATGCATATGCAAATGAGATATCTTGGAAATGGGGTTCAACTGAAAAAATAAAATTCATTTATGTTTCATGTACACATAGGCTGAAGACGTTTATGCACAACATTTTTAATAATTGCGTGTATGAAACAAACCTGTGTTTAATGAACTTTCAAAAAGCAGTCATGTCACTGTCTCATCCACCCTTGCAAATAATTGCAGATTTTGGAATATTTCAGACTTCTGGATAAGAGATACTCAGCTTGTAAAAGGACTGGTGCCCAGGATTTTTGCAACTCCTTTACTGGCAGTAATTGATTTTTTCACAGTGTTTGGTTTCAAAATTGTTAACTTTTCTTATTGTGACCTGGTTTCTGGCTGGGACAAAGGGTTCAGTGCCCCCTCTAGGGCAAGTGCCAACATTGCTTTGGCGAAGAGAAGACAACTGTGATGCCTTGCAAGGCTGCTTTCCCATCCTTTTATTCTTTGGGGTGTTTTCTCTTCTTCAAAATTGGGCCAATTAACTTGCGGTCTGCCTTGAATGAAATCCTATACAGTGGTCCCTCACTTATCACGGGTGTTATGTTCCAGGACCACCCGCAATAAGTGAAATTCTCTGAAGTAGGGATGCCCCCTCACCTTCCCTCCTTGCCCTCTTTGTCTTCCTCTTCCTCCTCGCTGCCTTGGTCTCTTGCTGCCGTTTGGGCCCCATGACATCTCCTCAATCACAGGGCCCAAGCGGCAGCAAGAAGCCCAGGCAACGATGAGGAGGAGGAAAAGTAAGGTAAGGAGGGCGAGGGGGCGGCTCTTCTTCCCTCCTCGTCCTCCTTACCTTCCTCTTCCTCCTCCTCATCGCCGCCTGGGACTCTTGCTGCCTCTTGGGCCCCACAAAGTCTCCTCAATCCTCAGTGTTCCCTTGCTACTTAAATTATTTAAAAAACAAACAAACCCGCGAAACAGCAAGTCTGCAATAAGCGAACCGCAAAGTAGCGAGGGCCACTGTATATGTTTTTTGCTGGATCAAGTCGTATAATGTATAATGAGGGTGGTTTTGGATTCTTGGTTTGAGATCATCTGCTGCAAGACTTGCCTTGTTTTAAGAATTTCAAAGCCAAGGAGTACTTTAATACTTACGTATGCTTCCTTTGCCTGATTCCTTATTTTGATGCCTGTGAACTCTTTAATACATCTGGCATATTTTTTTCTGAATTGGATTGTGATAAAAGTCTTCTGATGCAACTGTCTGCAACTCTGCTACCACTTCCAATTCTAATGTCATTTTATAAAGAGTTCAGGATTGTCAGAGACAATCGTTATGCAAGCACACCTAGAAGTTGCTGCTGGAGTTCACTCTATTGTTATTTAGATATTTAAGGAAGATTTGAACTCTGAAATTAGCTTTAGCAAACTATGGGTGGAGTTGGCAGGAGTGTGCTAGGTTGCAAAGTCTCCTGTGTATGTGGCACTGTCGCTGCTATTTATAATCATGATGCTATCACACCATGTGGTTGTGGGATGTGCTTCCTTGCAATGGGGAATTTAATGGATTCTTTGACATCATGGCTTTAAGCACTCCTTTTTTCATGGGACCGAGTGACTGCCACAATGCTTTTTAGAGTTAGAATCCTAAAACCTTATGCAGATTCAAATTGCATGTCAAGGAAATGCTCATTGTTACTATATTTAAACTAGTCTTCTCTCTTTCCAAGAGATCACAACTAAATATTGGGAATAATTTATTTGCTGTAAGAACTGCTTAGCAGTGAAATAGACTGCTTGGAAAAAGTGAACCATACTTCTTTGGAGACCTTTAAACATAGCTTGGATAGACAATTTTCAGGGAGGTTCTAATTATGTTTTCCTGCATGGGAGGAGGTAGACTAGATGATCCTTG